TGAAAAAGGAATTTTCCTTTTAAATGCAATTACATTTTTTTTTTTTTAATGTAGACCGATTACTAGAATTATTCTGCATATAAAAGTAGTAAGGTGCAATGTTGAAAAGTTAATATTTCGTGAGATATTTGAAATTTTTGCTAAGGAGTTTATTTTGTTGAAGATGTTTCACAGATATTAATTGTAAACATTTGCGGACGTACACTATCGTTGCGGACACTATCAATCAACAGTAGTCAATTAGATACAGGCAATTTATGGTCACGACCAATTTATATTCGTACAGAACTAATATAAATTTGCATTACCTAATCTTTTTCATGATATTTCCCTACGAACGCGACTGAATTTAAAGTACTATCAACAGAATGATGTGCCAGCACGTAATGCACGTATCGTAACAGGTTACCTACGACGAACTTATTGTGAAAGATGGTTTGGAACACGCAGTGCAACACCATAGCTATCACGTTCTCCGGATTTAATTCCTGATTTTTTTTATGGGGTAATCTCAAGGATAAAGTGTACTCACGTCCATTTGTTTTGGTAGAAGATTTTAAAAAACTAATTAGATTATTCAAACATAAACAGTGCTCATATTAATTCTGTTATGAAAGACATAAAGAAACGATTTATGAAGTGTTTACTATGTAACGGCGGAACATTCGTATACTCCCCACAGTATGCGGGTTCTTGGAGCTTCAAAGCCCACTGCTTGCTGTGTGATGATTACTGTGGAGATTCGGGGCATTAGCGTTCCCCCGGTATCCTGAAGTGCTGATGGACCAGAATCGAGAAGAGTCAGGTCTTTCATCTGAGAGTAGTGTTGGGTTCCACCACGAGTATCATACCGATGATGTTTTGAATGGTACTACGGGCGTCCAGTCTATAAGTCAGAGGAGTTGTTGCGCATGTTTTTCCTGTTCTCCCCCTGGATTTGGTTGGTTGGTGTTGGATTCGCAGGGATAGTGGTTTAAAGTTAACTGCTGGTTAGGTGTCCCTTTGGAAAGTCCTCATAACTCCCCATCGCACTGGTAGGCTACTTAGGTTCAGCGGTTGCGTTTATTGGATGTATCTCAATGGGGTGGCCATCCGACCCGTATGGATTAGGGCTACTACTGGATGCCGCACGTTAAATTTTGACATCTTACATACCCGAATACTTTTATACGCAGAATGTTCATAAGGATTGATTTACGTGAAAAAAAATGTACTTCCATTTAAAAAGAAATTTAGATTGCATCGTTGCACTTATAAAATACCATTTAATTGTTTTTTCTACAACTTTTTTCTATCTCTATTCAAACATGAGATATAATCCGGCCTAATTGTCTACCGCACCCTGTATAAGTATACATATAACATAGAGGTATGTTTAATATTTTACACAATATGTATTTCAGGAATACCAAAACTGGAAGATGCCAATGATGCAGGAACTAATAGATCATTGGAATGTACACTTATATTAACTGAGGGAGATTCAGCTAAAAGTATGGCTGTGTCTGGATTAGCGTCAATAGGTCGAGATAGATATGGTATATTTCCTCTAAGAGGTAAATAACACATAAATAATAATGTAAATGAAACGTAATTGAATTGGTTATAAATATTCCCATTACTTATAATCCATAAGCAAGATATATATATTTCACTATATAAACTCGAGACGATCTAAAAACGTTACGTTATGGAAAAATGATGATAATGACTGATCAGGATCAGGTTACTTGTTTACTAAATTTACTATATATGTATACATGTATATTTTTTAAATATTATATATCATTTATAATATTTATTCATTTAGGATGGTTCCCATATCAAAGGCTTGTTAATTAATTTCATTCATCACAATTGGCCATCATTATTGAAACTAAATTTTGTAGAGGAATTTATTACACCTATTGTTAAAGCATCAAAGGGAAATCAATCATTGAGTTTTTTCTCAATGCCAGAGTTTCATAAGTGGAAATCTGAAACGAATAATTTTCATACTTACAAGATTAAATACTACAAAGGTTTACATTTTTAATCTTTTATGTACTTTATTACTATATTTTTTGAAGTCTATAAGAATATTCTGTTTGTAGGTTTGGGTACTTCTACTGCTAAAGAAGCAAAAGAATATTTTGAAAATATGGCTAGACACAGAATCAGGTTTAAGTACGATGGAGATCAAGATGATCAGAATATTATCATGGCCTTTAGCAAAAAATGTGTTGATCAACGTAAGGACTGGTTAATGAATCATATGGACGAAACAAAGAGAAGAAGAGAAATTGGTCTTGGAGAACGCTTTCTGTATCAAAAGGATACGCGTACTGTGTCCTTTTCTGAGTTCATTAACGTTGAACTAGTTCTATATAGTAATTATGATAATGTGCGATCTATACCTAATATGATCGATGGTTTCAAACCTGGCCAGAGGAAAGTGGTGTATACTTGTTTAAAACGTAACGATAAACGTGAAGTGAAAGTGGCACAATTAGCTGGTTCTGTTGCTGAACATTCAGCGTATCATCATGGTGAAGTTTCTCTTATGTCGACTATTATTAATCTTGCACAAAATTTTGTAGGAAGTAATAACATAAATATACTTCAACCAAATGGTCAATTTGGTACGAGACTCACGGGAGGAAAAGATGCAGCGAGTCCTCGATATATTTTCACGATGCTTAGGTATATATACTTTGGAATTGTATAAATGAGAAACAATTAATAAGATACAGTTAATATATAGCTTTTTTCATTACCCATAGTCCATTAGCACGATACATATTTCACAAACATGATGATGCTTTATTAAAACACGAATATGATGATAATCAAAAAATTGAACCTGTTTTCTATGTACCAATTATACCAATGATATTAGTGAACGGTGCTGAGGGAATTGGTACTGGATGGATGACAAAGATACCAAATTATAATCCTAGAGAAATAATTGAAAACTTATATAGAATGATGGATGGTGCTGATCCAAAGCCTATGGTAATATTTTTCCAAAATACCTGTTTTATATCGTTTACATATTTTGTTATTTCATATTTTCTGTAGGTACCATATTACAAAAACTTCAAAGGAGTCATAGAAAGTTGTGGAGATTATAGATATGTTGTTAATGGAGAAATTTCAGTGATAGGACCAGATAAGCTTGAAATTACTGAACTTCCAGTTGGAATTTGGACACAGACATATAAAGAATCAGTACTAGAACCAATGTTACATGGAAGTGATAAAATTCCGGCTATTATTACGTAAATATAATTTTTATTATTAGCATTTAACAATTTCACTGCCACTGTCGAAGCATTATCGATAAGGAATGACTTATTCCATGTGCCATCGTCGACAGTGTATTGACAGTGTATCGTTCGGACATCGCCGCGACATCAAAAGTCGATACCGTTCCTGTGTGATCGACGACTACCACCACGAAAGTCCTCGTAAAAATCATATGTCTGACTGAGAGTTAAATTGGAGATTAGATTGGTGGCACACGGCACGTCCTTCATGATTTTCTTCTGGCAGTGAACGTGTTAAACTGTAAGATAAGTAATTAAAATATATGGTATTAATGTTATGATATATAATATTATTATAGAGACTACAAGGAATACAATACAGATACAGAAGTGCAATTTATAGTAATGTTAAACCGTGATAAGTTGGTAGAACTAGAAAGAGATGGTCTTCATAAAGCATTTAAGTTACAAACGACAATGACGATTACGTCTATGGTAAGAAATAATATATTTTACTTCAAACATTTAACAATTTATTGAAGTAAGGAATCAATTTGTTTTGTGTAGTGTGCATTTGATGAAAATCTATGTCTTAAAAGATATGATAGCGTCCTGCAGATTTTAAACAATTTTTATAAAATGAGATTAGAGATGTATCACAAAAGAAAGGACTATTTGGAAGGTATTCTACAAGCGGAGGCATCTAAACTCTCAAATCAAGCACGATTTATTATAGAGAAATGTGATGGTACTATAGTAATAGAAAATAAAAAGAAAAAAGATATGATAGCTGAATTAATTAGACGGGAATATGAATCTGATCCAGTTGTAGCCTGGAAATTATCGCAAAATAGGGAAGAAATTTTAGTAAGTATTGTATCTTTATTTTAAAGTAACAGGGTTAGTAATTTATTAAAGTTTACTTGTTGTGCTACGTTAGGAAGCTCAAGTAAGTGGTAGGAAAAAAATTTTTTTAACAAACAA